TTAACTTCATGGCTTGGGGTCTTTGAAGGGCATATGTATGTATGAACACAGGTGGTGTTTATGGGATATTGTTGATAAAAAGGATAAGTATCAAGTTCAGGGGATACTTGCAGGTTCTAAGACCTGATGGTGCAGATGGGGCATGCCAGGCACACAAGGGCAGCATGGAGCAGCTGGGCTCCAGTGGGGGGTGGGGTGGGGGGCTGGCACAGCCGCAGCAGCTGGACAAATGCAAGAGGTCAAGAAGTGTTTGTGGACTCTGACTTCTTCCTCTTCGGCTCTGAACCGTGGGCGGGCACCATCAAAGCCCTGCACCCAGGAAGGATGGCCAGGGCAGTGTCTGTGTGTAACACTCCCCACTCCCAACATGCCGTTCCAGGAGAACATTCCAGCTCTGCATCCAGGATGGAGCCACCTTCTTCTAGCATGAGCTATTTTTAGAAGTAGGTTTTGATGGAGGAGAAAATGACCCACATTCCAATCATATCAAAAAGGTAATATGTGACAGAAGTTTTCTTAGCTGTCTACTTTCTCTTCTTCTGATGAAAATGCCTTTTAACATTCATCTGATTTTGCTTAGGTGCCTACAGTAAGCCAGATATGAGGGGCAAGGGGTGACAATACAGACCCTCATGTGGGATGGGTCCTTAAAGATTTCCATATGGATTCCATATTATATGCCCTTTTCCTTATGACTACTTATTTTGATTATTATTTCAGAATATATAAACTCGTGTGTATTTACTAACTGGAGATATAAGAATAATCAGGAAAACAGAATGAATGAAAGTCTAGGGGCTAAAGTGATCACTTTTTTTTTCAAATTACTGACTGTCCAAATGAATGGAAATGATGGTCATACAAGGGTAAGAGGTAGAGGCAAACGCCCAGGAACACCAGAGCGGGGATTGAAAGCAATATTCCAATGTTATGTGCAAAGGACTTGAACCCAAGGTAAGTCAGCAAGTTCTGGCCTGTTGCATAATTGCACCCAGTTTTCAATGAGCTGGGCTACAAAAGCTGGTTTGGAAATCTGCTATGTAGAATTTGGGATGCTTTGCCTCATGACTATGAGGAATATTCACAATGTCAGGGCTTCTATGCTAACACCTGAGAAAGCCTTCTTCCCCTCTAGCATGGCCTCGGAGCCCCACGCTCCACCTCCCATGCCCTCTTGCCTGCTGACTCCTAGCTCATGCTGGTCCAGCCAAGCTGACTCCCTGTTGCCTGGTCTCACTCGGCTGTTTCCATCGTAGGACTTTGTACTCAGCCCCACGCCTTTGGTGTGAGTCCCCGATCAAGGTGGCTGCCTCTTTCCCTTCAAAGAGATTTTCACTGGACACAGCCCACCTCACCTCTGACATCACCCTTGGTCACCTCCTTTCCACTTTTTCATTTTCTGTCACCACCCTAGACACTGCCTGTGTGTGTTGTTGGTCTCCCCCACCAGGAAGTGGGCTCCTATGGGCAGAGGTGCAGCTCTCGTTTAGTCTCTGCTTACTCTTAGCACAAAGGATGGCGTGCGACACAAAGCAACTGTCCAGAAAACAATGCTGAATGGGTCCGATCTTGGAAAATACATCTTAAGCCAAACTTGGAGCCTGCAACTCCACCTGTGTGGCCATGAGCAAATGGCTCTCCCCACATCTGTTCTATCCCTAGGGAAGCGGGCTTTTCCAGCCTGCCACAAAATCTGCTGAGATGAACAAACGGAGTCTGTTTGTAGAATGCCTTGACACATTCCCTCTCCAAGCCGTGGGTCCTCATCTGTAAACATCGGAACATCGCGTGAGCTGTTCTTCAAGGTTGCCTAGTGCTATTTACACCATGGTGATGAGGGAAACAGGATGAGAGCCTCTCTCCTGTTGCCTGGCACTGGCTGTAATGACAGGTGATGGGTTGAGTGGCATTTTTACCCAGTGGCCTCCACTTCTTCTCCCTACAGGTGTGAGGGCTCTCCCTAGTGCTTCTCTGGGGTCCTTCCCATTTCCTGCGTTCCTGTGCACACAACTCTGTATAGACAATGGATTAGTATAGCTTCTACCGGGCTCAAGTCTCCCCTGGAGACACTGGAACAGGACCAGGGCACTGGGAAGGATGGAGGAGGTCTGCCATCTACTGCTTCTACCGAGTTCTTCTATGGGTAGAGATGAGGCTGGATGTATTAACAACGAACTCTCCAAGAGGAAGAAGGTACATTAGAGAACAATGGGCCGTCCTAAATGTTCATAGCTTCAAAGTGAACCTATGCCCAGCAGCCTTGATCATGAATATTCCCTTTGAACTCCTCAACTGCTGTGAATGACCCCTCCACCAAAAGCCCCTCTCTCCCCCAGTCACCTGGAATTGGCTATAGAAGCCACCCGGGCTGCTCACCAGCTCCACATCTCAGCTTTCACATTCATCTTGTAGCCTGAGCATACATGGAAATTTAAATTCCTAAGATTTATTTTAACTTTTCTTTTTATATGTCAAGCAGACTTTCCCTTATAAATCCTGAAATCACCTTTGAAATTTTAGACAAGGGCAGATGTCACTTAATGTGACTGGCAAATGTTCCACACGCCATTTGTTGTGTGTGGCCGTTGTTATTCCTTTTGCTTCTTTTTTTTTCCTTTTTTCTTTCTTTCTTTTTTTTTTTAAATCGCCATAGCACTATAAAACCAATTAAAACAAACTTTGCAAAGATTCTCATTTCTGGCTCCAATATTCCAACCTCTGACTTTTTCTGAAGCACGAGATAAGACTTTCTGATTAACTGGGGGTGGGATGTTTAGCCAATCTGTTCATTTTATACATTATGGATACTGCTTTTTAATTTTTATGCCATGCCAGTGGCATATACTTTCTGAAATTAATAAATACAATACATACTATCAATGTGTGAAATTTGAAAAAAACACACAGATTTCCATAGTTTGACATACAAAAAAATGTACTCACACACTTTTGAAATCTACTGTCAAATCATTTCACATCTGTACCTAAAGCAAACAGACATAATGCTAACAGCTTGTTCGAATTCAGAAATGCCACCCGCTAATCAGCCCACCTGTAGCATTCTCGGTCCATCTTGCAAGCTGTATAACCGGCTGCCAAGAAGCTTGACAAGAAAATGTATATTAAATTATTGAATAAGATTGGAAATGTTGTACAGTGTGGGATAAAGAGAGTGCACGGTGTGTGGCCAATGAACACGCTGTACCTTTTCACTCTGATGTCTGCTTAGAGGTGACCTAGCTCCATCCCTGGATGTGAAGTTAGCAATGAGGCTTTCAGTTTTCATCATTCCTGGGGAGGGGGCCGGAGGTGGGGTGGGGGGGAGAGAGGCGGTGATGTGTGGCTGGCATTGGGTAAAACATAAAGCAAGGAAAGATGCAAAAAACAAATTCTGAACTGAGTTCCACAGATATAACCCATCTTCACACACACACACACACACACACACACACACACACACACACACACACACCCCAAAACCCCTCATTCCACAGTGAAGACACGAAAAGGTTTTCTACCATGCCGACAATCTTAGAAACCACATCGACACACTATTAACCAAATCCAACCATTTTCCATATTATTTAGAATTCGAGAAGAAAATGGTCTTTTGATCTTTCTTGGTGGGAGGGGGAGCCAAATAAAATGTAAGTGAAACAAAGCTGTTGAGACCCTTGGAGCAGAACGGGGGCATCAGACCACCAAACAAACCTTGGGTACCCACCCCACTGGCCACACCCGGAAGCTTGTGAAATTGGCTTGTGAACGTGACTTTGCACAAAACCGTTACATTTTAACACAGGATTATTTTCACTTCTATGGACTAGGAGGGCTCTCCGGAATGATCTCTGGGGGTCTGTGGGTAAGAAACGTTAGTTTAGCATCTGTTCTTTTAAGGCTGTTTGCTCTGGGAAGGCAGTGTGTTTTGCCATAAATTTAGGTCATTAATTTGTATCTGTTCTTTGTTTATTTAAGAAACAGGACAAAAGGGCAGCTGCTGAAGCATTTGGCTGTGCCGAGGGGTAGTGGGCTGACATGCTGGAATTCTGCACATGACCAGCTTGAGTTTGTATCCACAGCTACAGGACAGAACTTTACGGAAACACTTTGCCAAGCCATGTGGTGCTCCGCTTCCCTCTGCATCAATACCCCTTTAATTACCTGATCCTGGGGGTGGGGGGAGTTAGAGAAAGTATCTGAGGGAGAATCTGGGACCTTTAGAAAGTCAGAGTTTTCTCATTTCTAATAAAAAAAAATCACCGTGATCCAGTGTCTAGTAATTATTCTACAGAACACTGATGATATAAATTCTGCAACTAGCCAGCAAAGGTAACACTGTGACCTATATAATTTGATATTTATAAACGGAAGCGCAGTGATATCCAGTCAATTGATTGTTAACAACATTTAATGCTCTAAAATTGGCCATTAAGTGCAGAGTCGTTTGAAAGGCGTTACTGCCATTATGAGGCATTGCAGAGGTTTTATTTATTATCATAAACTTAATGGATGTAGTAAATTGGGTGTATTTAGAAAGGTCATTTGGTGCTTGTTGATACTGAATTCTGAGCACTTTCATTCAGATGAACAGTGAAATGGAGCAGTGTTTTTCAAGGATAGTCCTTGCTTAAGCTGCCATGAGTGAATAACATGGAAACTCAGAGCCTTGGTCTTAAAAGTAATAATAATAATAATAATAATAATAGCACAATTTGATAAGAACAGTAGGACTGTTGAAAGTCCATATTTCAAAACGATAAATTTTTAATCCAAAACTATGTCTTAAAAAACAAAAGAAACAAAGTAGGAGTCACCTGAAGGGAGTTTTATATGACAAAGAAATCTGTGCCCAGAATCCTGCCTCTTGTGAACAAAATGTGATGTCCTCCTCTTCTTACAGTTTTCCTAGGAAAACCCCTCACGAGAGGGTGTGGTCCCTCCGTAACTCTCAGGTTGCTTGTGTCAGCAGGGGACACTTTTCCCACAAGCCATCTGTGCTGTTGGGTTTGCAGAGGCCTGTAGGAACTCGAATACTAGATGAGCTGAGAGATGTGTATTCTTTCTGTTGAATATTTCTTTTTGTGTGAGGAGACATGGTTTTGGATTTTCTTTCTTTCTTTCTTTTTTTAGATGTTCTTCATGATGAAATTGTAAATGAAAATTTGGTTAGAAATGAGGACTGCTCTTTCAGAGCAGTGCGTGGAACCCTCTGGAAGCTGAAGGCGTTTGGGGTGAAAGCCTCTGGGCCGTGGCAGGCAGCTGTGTGCATTCAGACATGAGGCTGGGAGACTCACACCTCAGTGAGACCTAGCTTCTGCTTCTTCTCCCTCGTCTCTGGACTCAGCCTGGGAAGAATGTGCGCTAGTTCAGAGGAAGAACGTGCTCTTCTTCGCTGTCCCTGCATCGCTTTGTGCTCAGGTGGAGGAGAGAAAGATCTAAGTGTCAAACTGTTATTCTCAGGAGGAGCTGAAAGGATTCTTTTCAAGGTGGGTGAAAAGGGGGAAGAAAAAAAAAACTGCCATCAATTAGACGTGAGATCTGACTGGGTTTCCTGAGATGCTGAGTGCTCTGAGACTGTGTGAGCCGGAGAAAGCCCAGCAAGATGCTCCCTGGCTTTGTGCAAACCGGTCACATGGTTTTCCATGGGTGCTGTGCTAAGTCCTTTAGCAAAGGGTTGCATGGCATCCAAGCCAGTGGACAGCGCCTCAGCACCTACTAGGGGAAGAAATACACTACGTATTGTAATATCTACTGACATCTGAGTAATAAGGTAATTTTATCAGGAACTTTGGTGTACCGAGAATATCTAGACTTTGGTGGTGGTGGTGGTGGTGGTGGTGGTGGTGATGGTGGTGGGTGATGGTGATGGTGGAGGTGGAAGTGGTGGTACTGTAGTGGTGGTGATGGTGGTGGTGGTGGTGGTGGTGGTGGAGGAGGTGGTGGTGGAGGTGGTGGTGGTGGTGGTGGTGGTGGTGGTGGTGGTGGTGGTGGTGGTAGTGGTGTGGTGGTGGAAACCAAGACTTTTCCAAAAAAAAAAAAAAAAAGAAATGGGTGTGGCAGCACACACCAGCACTCCCAGTTACTACGGAGGCCAAAGCAGGAGGATCCTTTGAGTCCAGGAATGGAGATCAGCCTAGACAACATGAGGCTTGTCTCAATGAATAACTAGTTTTCAATTAGCAATAATTGTGCCACAGATAAACCTCGTTGGCTACGATACTGCCACTGCACAAAGCTTCAATAAATAACTAAATAGTGAGTAAATTATTATTTTAAATGTTTTCCAAAGAGAAACTAAATTTGATGAGACGAGAATGCATCTGCCTTAAAGAAACTGATCACCCTTCGTCACTGATTCGGGAACAGAGTTCTCCGTGTTTGCCCATCGGCATCTCAAGTCTATTCCTTTCTGCTTTTATCTTGGCCTGAACCCATCTAGACTCTTGTCTCCCACACAGGCCTCTACTGCCCAATGGCTCAGCGAATTTAAAGAGCACACACACATAGAGAGATGCTGGAAGCCCTCCCCCCACCCAGCCTAGCCAAAAGGCATCTATCTAGTTCTTTATAGGTCTCTCAATGCCTGTAAGGAAAGATGTTTCACACATTCAAAAATAATCTAATATTGATATGAGCTATAGCTGATCAGGCTTCTCTCTTGGTGTCTAGTTTTCCTTGTTTTTCGTCTCTCCCCAGGGTCCTCTGACTGCTCTACTCCTCTGTTTTACTCAGGGGACTTTCCTCCTTAACCAGCTCACATCCCCTCCTCCACGTGACCATCTCCCCCAGGGTGGCTGTGGCCTTTGGGATGCAGTCTAGGTGTGAAAGGAATGATTATTCATTGTGATCTTCAAGCACAGAAGCCCTCCTCTCTTCATAGAGGCTCCATTCCCCAGAGAGCAGTTTGGCAGCATTTTTCTCAAAGTGGAATAAAAATGCATCATATATATATATATATATATTCCACATGACATCTCTCAGGAGATTTTTTTCATGCAGGTTCCATTTCTGTCAAGAGAGGCAGTAACATTGTAGGGGGAAAAAGGGTGTTGAACCATGACCCTAGAGATGTCTCTGCCTGACTTCGCTAATTAATAACTGGGCATCACCCACAAGTCACTTAACCCTTTCAATGTCTCAGGTCCCCAGCATAAAACTAGATGTCCTGTCCAGTGAGCACCAAGATCCTCCCTGCTCTGACCCACCCTGAGCCTTTCAAAGGAAACTTTCACCTAGGTTTGCTGGTGCTGAGCAAACAACCCAGGTTCTTTCTCCCTTCTTGGTATTCTGCCCTGAAATCACAGCCATCTGTCCCCCTGTGCCGATGTTTCTTTAGGAAGAACACCTAATCACAAGTGAATTTCCCTGAAGAAACTGGTGGTTTTGAGTTTGGAATCAATACCGCTCCTTTTATGGCAATGCCTCTGTAGTGAAGAGCAACCGAGAAAAGAGAAATGGCCAGCCTTGTAATTGTATCTGCTTGATTGGAGCAGACTATAATGTGTGAGGCTTACTCTGAGAAATTGTGTGTGTGTGTGTGTGTCTGTGTGCACGCGCGTGTGCGCACACATATGCACACATGTGCATGTGGGTATGGAAATACATGTGTGCACATTCATGATGAGGTCAGAGGTCAGCCCCGGTGTCTCCTTCATTCACTGTGTACCTTATTTTTTGAGGCAGAGTCTCTCACTGAACCCGGACTCACAGACTCAGCTCCACTGGCCACCGAGCCCCAGGGATCCTTTGGTCTCCAGCTCCCCAGCACTGAGATTGCGGGCACACACAGCCACGGCTAGCTTTATCATGTGGGTGCTGGGGTTCGAACTCATGCTCCTGCAGCAAGCACTTTACCAACTAAGCCATCTCCCTGCCCCAGAAAGCAGCTTTGAAAGCGAAATTTTTTCTTTCTGATTCCACAGCTACAGTCGGATCAACTGACAATCCCTCCTTTCTGTGTATCTATGCACACACTTTTATACACATGGATTATACTATTTAAAAATATAATGAGGAAACTCCCTTCTCATTTTGTTTCAATAAATATCTCACTCGATACTTTGTGTTGGTGAGTTTTTATCCTGGGCATGTACTTCAAATCTGCTTGTGAAACTGTAAAGGACCGAGAACAAGAGGAACACTGCAAAGTCTCCTGCAGGAGAGGGGAGGAGATGGAGAGGAGGAGGCAAGGACACGGCCAGGAGGGACAGAGAGGCATGCTTGCTAGCTCGTAGCGCATGTGTACACTCAGAGTAGGATCCTGGTACCCGTGTCTGAGGCATCTCCATTACAGCTCCCGAAGCCGATCATGCAGAAACTTCAGCGATACGACACGGGAAACTAGGTACTTTCCTAGCACACTGAGAACATTGTGCTCCTTATGTGATGTAACCTAGAAAGTCCTTCTAAAATGTCCTCTGATCCTTAGCACTTTGGAAAGTGGAGGAATACTGGGCGAGTGTGTTCCCCGGCTCCTGCTCAACACCACGCATACCATGAAGCCTTCTGAAAGGGGCGTTGAACAAACTCTCCTCAGCACGAAGGCTGCCTGTGAATATGATCCTGGTGTGTCCCGGCCCCACGCTTACCTCCACTGATCATCCCACACTCCAGAGTAGCCATATCAGGACCAGCCGCAGGTTGTGCGGCTTCGCACACCTCAGTCTCACCTTTTGCTTAGACGCTCACTTCTGACAGCCATGCTCTTCCCACAGTAGCCTTTTTCTGTCACTTGGCATGCAGGCTTCTGCCCCGATGAGGCTCTTCTCCCAAAGTCCTTGGGTTATTTCTCCCTCTGTCCATGTGAACCTTGCCAAGGCACCAGGGCACTGCTGGGGCTTTATATACTACAGGAAATGACACAGGCACCAACTGAAATCAACCAGGCTTCTCAGGAACCGGTGTCAAATAGAACCTTAGATACCACATGGTTTTGAGGGTACATAAAAAAGGCCAGTTCTCGGGACTCTCTATGGTTATTCCCATCGCAGCTCAATGTCTAAATCTACGGGTATTAATTAATATGTATCAAGGGTTGACTGTACATAGACGGTGAACTAAATATTTTCTGTGCACTATAAAACTGAACTTTCTCCACTATTTCTTTTTTCAAACAGGACTTTAATATGTAGTTCAAGCTGCCATTAAACCCAGAATCCTCCTGTCTCTATTTCCTGGGTGCTGGGTGATGGAATTACAGGTGTGTGCCACCACGGCCAGCTTTCTCAACAGATTTCTGAGGGAAGTGTTAGGAGTTTCCCCCATAGGCAGCAACTGGCTCCTGATCACATGTCCAAGAAAGTCATGGCTAGAGAAGGGACCAGAGCTGGGACACCTAAAATAGAACCTCTGATCCCCATGTGAGACATGGCAATATTGAATTCAGATTCTTTAAAAAAATATATATTTATTGCATGTGTATGTGCGTGTGCGTGCGTGCGTGTGTGTGTGTGTGTGTGTGTGTGTGTGTGTGTGTGTGTGTGTATGCTCATGTGTGAGCATATAGGCCAGAGAAGGACATAGGGCATTCTGATCTATCACTCTTCATTACTCCCTGAGATGAGGTCTCTCCCTGAACCTGGAGCCAGGCTGGTAGTTAGTAATCTCCAGCGATCCACCTGTCTCTGCTCCCTAAGCACTGGGGTCATAGGTACTCCCTGCCACACTAAGTGGGTACTGAAGATTTGAACACAGGTCCTCACGCATGCATAGCAAGTCCTCTTATGCATGGAATCATCCCCCCAACCTCCAAACTCAGATTCTTAATGTAGCAAATATCTCTACTGGGAGCATTTGTGCAGGACGGTGGGGGAAGAAGAAGCTATGGAAAAGGAAGGGCTGAGGGCTAATTGGTTCTGTTCTCAGAATTGTGCTGTCACAGAGGCATCACATACTACCCATGAACTGTTCTAAGAGGTGATCTTACCGGGAATATGAAAGATTTTGGTTTAATGTACAAACTATCTTTCCTACATAGACAATTGTGAGACCATCTTGCAGAAGTTCTTTTTAAAAAACAGAGCACACTGAGCCTAGGCAGGTCCAAGCCCCTCCCCACTACACCAAGGCTGTGCAAAGAGTCACACCACAGGCACTGGGCTCCTAAAAGCCTGTCCATGCACCAGGGATGGATCCCGATCCCCCTGTCTGGGTGCCCCCCCAAACAGTTCGAGCCAAACAACCGCCTTCTGGGCTCTGTTGACTCCCCATGGGAGACCTTGATTTGGGGGATGTGGGGGTGTGGGGTGGCTTGGGAGGGAGGGCTGGGGGGTGGGAGGAGGGAGGAGATGGGATCTGTGGGTGGTATGTAGAATGAGAAGAAATTTTCTTAATAAAGAAAAATTAAAAAAAAAAAAAAACAGGGCAGGTTTTCCTTTAAACAGAAGTGGAGCAGGTCCACAGGAAAAGGTCCAAGACCTGATCCCTCTAAGACTATGTAATTATCATCCTTTGTAAATTGTCCCCTGGAATTATGATCCTGTTGGAGGAAGTCATTTGAGCTCATGGGAGCCACACATCTGCAGACTTCTGGGAATCAAAAGTGGTCTCGTTCCATTATTCTCAACTGGAAGAGCACAGTCCAGAGATGAATCGCTGCCAGGGAAGGCTGTGAACAAGTAAGGGGTCTCTGGGCTTCATATCTACTAATTAAGAACAGTCTCTTTTCTAGTCCCAAAGCACAAAACTACTGACTACTCTGTGAAATCATAGGGGTAAACAATTTTTGTTGCATCTAGAGGGATGTTAAAAATTTTAAATTAGTTTTCTCTCTCTCTCTCTCTCTCTCTCTCTCTCTCTCTCTCTCTCTCTCTCTCTCTCTTTGTCTCTCTGTCTCTGTCTCTCTCTTTCTCTCTCTCTGTGCGTGTGCGTGCAATACATCAGTTTCATCAAGAATTCAAGATCTGCTCTAGCTAGTGATTCATTGAGTTCTTTGGGGAGACATGGGAGTCTGGGGAGATCACCTCTGATAAGTCAGGTTCAAACAAGGTCTATGTAGGAAGTGGGAGTTCTCTTAGGACTCGGGAGGCTGATCTGCTTATTCAGGTTCTCGTGGCCTCGCTGGTGGCTCATTAAGGTCCTCATGGCCTACTGCTATTAAAGGCATCATTATTTTAACACTTAAATATGCAGAATGGTCTGAGAAAACACTGTGGGCTGGAAATTGCTTGTGTGGTGAGGCTCTAAATTTTGAAACTAATGTATTGGAAAAGACCATCCTTTTCTTTTTTCCTTTACTTTTCAATCATAGAAAACACTATTCTACATGGCATGGACTGCAATAACGTTATTTTTTAAATTAACAATAAAAAAACAACAATTACCCAATACCCCAAACATACTTCAACACATTAGGAGAATTAGACATGAGCTATGGAGCCGCACAAACCCCACTTTGAATCCAGATTATAAATTCAATAGCTTGGTTATAACTCAGTGGTAACACACTAGTCTGGCTTGCACAAAGCCTTAGGATTAATCCCCACTGCTAAATAAACAAAATTAAAACAAGTAAATAACCTCAAGGTCATGTTAAAAGCATTTGGTTTTACATTGCTCCCCCTGCCTTCTGCTCCTGGACTCTCTCAGAGGTTCAAATTTAAGGGAACCTTTCACATCGTTTCTGTCCTTTTGACTGATTTAATCTTTTAATTTGCAGCTCGAGACTGATTATCCAGCTTTTTGTACAGCAGTACATTTCCCCCTCTGTTTAACACATCGCAGAGAACTGGGTGTCAGATTTCTCTCTCATATGCTCCACCATTCTGGGTTCTGGTGGCATGCCGGCAGAACCAGTGCAATTCGAGACAAACACTAATCTTTCCAAGTTCCATAAAACAAATGCTGATAATTCACAGGGCTTAAAGTGCAAATATTGAGAGGCCTTGGACTAGCACATGGCTACCTTTTCAAAATTTCAAAGGCATGGGAACTGACCTGACCGGACCGCTCTCAGAATTTCAGCTCACATTCTAGATTGTATGAGAAAAAGGGAATGATTTCTCTCAGAGAGGAGATGAGAAAGAGAAAACACCATCACCTTGTCACATCATCTGTTTCGAGTTTGGGAAGATGAACACAAGGTTCTCAGAGCTGCACCCTCTTTTTGTATGTCCGTGGAACATCACAAAGTGAGGCCACATTTAGGTGAGTACAAGCATTATCTGGCAGTTATGAAGGTCTCCGCTGCTGATGCCAATTGTGTTTTCCCAAATGTCTTCAAAAATCTGTTTAAATAAAAATGTCAAACACTCATGGTTTCTAAAATTGTGGAGGGCATCTGAGGCGATTTCCATCCCAGAGACAACATCTTAAGAATCTGCTCATCTCCCTCAAGGCCCAGGGCAGCATTGGGTTCAATCATTCTGTGCTCAACCTTGGGATAAATGAATGAACTGAGTTCCACGGATGTGCCAGGACAGGCATCTCCTCTTACTAGTCCTCTAGGCCATCTTTGTTATGACAGCTTACCTCCAAGGGCTCTGGAGTCTCCCCTGCCTCCATCCCCACCTCCTAGTTGAGCCAAAGTTTGTCTGCCTGTAGCGGTCACCCAGCACTCCTGGTCCCTACATGCAGGGGCATTCCCTTCTCTTTAGCTCAGGACAGTCCAATGAATGGCTTCTGACAGTTGCTGTGTCTCTCTTTAGGCATCTCCAGAATGACACTTCCCAGAACCTTCTACTATTGCTTGTAAGGCAGGCTTCACTAGAAATGAGTTTCTAGATTGAACGCTCAGTTAGCATACATTTGTTTTACCTCGGATTTTTATGAGTGATGTGACCTTCAGTGAGTCCCTTGATCATGATGTAGAGTTATACATAAGATGGCACGCTGACATTCATCTGCTTCCCTGGTAGTACTTTTGGGTGAGTCAAACCCTCTAAGAATTACCAGTTTTTACACAATAAGACTGGTGGGGGTTGGGGTAGTAGATCTGGAAGAAGTGATCTGGAGGATTGGGGTGGTGGTGGACATGATCAAAATACATTGCACGCATGTATGAAATTCTCAAAGAATTACTAAAAATACTGCATAACCACCAAAAGATAGTATTATTAT